CGAAGAGCATCCTCCATTTGGTATGGATGTGTTCTAAGAGGTGAGGCTATGATATTTCTTCAGTGTCAATCGTTCTACAGCTTCGAGGTCTACTTGATTAGATTAGAGATATCGGCCCTGAATTTCTGAATCGAATACAAAAAGTTTTTGGGCACTGTAGAACGTGCTGTTTCGTGTAAGTTCTTATAGATTAGAACATATCCTATTAGTGTAAAGGGGATATGTTACCAAGCTGATTGGTTGGATATGGATGCAAGATTGTTTTGTGGAGACTTCCTTTACGAATGTGTGTCACTATTATTATTCTAGGCACCTTTTTCTTTGACCCTCTTTGCTCGTTTGTTCTCGATTGGCCTTTCGCCTGAATAGTTTGCGAAATGTAGTTTTCCTGCAACTGTTTCCCAGTCTTGTTCTTCTCATCTTATGTCGTTGTTTATCCTATGTGCTTTACTTTGATATTCAGTGGTTTATAAAGTGGTTGAAAATCTGTAAATTGTTCTTTGATTGTGCAGGGGATGTGAATGGCATCAGCGTTGGATCTCGCACGAATATTCAAGACAATGCCCTTGTGCATGTTGCTAAATCCAACATAAGTGGGAAGGTCCTTCCCACTATTATTGGGGACAATGTTACAGTAGGTAAAGTGAAAGTGACAGTGATACCAGTTATTTTCGGGTATCCTTTTTTATCTGTGACCCATTTATCATCTGATTTTTCTTCTCTATGAAATGAACTGAGCAGGTCACAGTGCTGTCATTCATGGTTGTACCATCGAGGACGAGGCTTTTGTCGGCATGGGAGCTACACTACTTGATGGTGTAGTGGTTGAGAAGCACGCCATGGTTGCTGCCGGTGCTCTTGTTAGACAGAACACGAGAATCCCTTCTAGAGAGGTTTTTCTCTGTTTCCTTTATCCCCCGTCCCTCACTTGTTTTGTTAAAGAATCTATAGTCAGAACACTATAGTTAATCTTTTAAAATGACAGACCATGTACTTTTTGTGTTACTTTTCTTCGCATTCCCTAGAGATAGATCATAAGGAAACTAATGGGGTTTTTTCGGGTTTCTATGTAATTGCTATGGAATGATTGATTCTTTTCTGGACTAGTTCAAAACCCGTCTTACTCTAGCCATAAATGGGTAGAGACTCATTAGCTTGGTGATATTTTTACGGGCTGCCCTATTACATATCTTCCGGTATTAGTGACTCGGGTTGTTTAATTTAATGATAAATGTGGCAGGTATGGGGAGGAAACCCGGCCAAGTTCTTGAGAAAACTTACAGATGAGGAGATAGCATTCATCTCTCAATCAGCCACCAACTATACAAACCTTGCTCAGGTCCATGCCGCGGAGAATGCAAAGTCATTCGAAGAGATTGAATTCGAGAAGGCTCTCCGCAAGAAATATGCTAACAAGGACGAGGAGTACGATGCCATGATCGGTGTCGTCCGTGAAGTCCCGCCCCAGTTGATTCTTCCCGACAATGTCTTACCAGTTAAAGCCTCCTCCAACGTTCCTGCCCCCCAGAACTGATTCCTTTTTCGGGTTTTGTCTTTCCTTTTAATCATTTTGAGACAGAATCTTGGGAAGATCAAGAGAGATCTTTGCTTTCGTTTTTCCCCCAAGAGCAAGTTAGGGATTGCTATCCTCATTCTTAATAATGCAGAAAAGAACCATGTACCAATATAGATCTGTGGGGTTCATTATGAATCTCGGTTGAGTAGCAAATGCATAAGAGCATTGAATGTTTATGTTTTGTGTTGTTTGGTCCTAAAGGATAAAGATGCATTTGTTGTTTGTTTCACAACTGACTCCAAAGCCTTCATTATTGGACAAATTTGGCACCCAAGTTTCTGATGTGTATTGATGCAAAACCGGCTGGCTCAGACCGATGGGCCCGATTCGGTTGCTACCCGTTTTTCACGAGCCAAAAAAAAAATTAATAAATAAAAATAAAAATAAAAATAAAAATTGGTTCGGGAGTCAACTCACGGGTTGGTCGAACCGGGTTGGTTTGTGATGTGTTTGTTTGACAGACTCATTGTTTTTCGAGCTCATATTTTTTCGATCCAACTCGGCAAAAAACGAGTTGATTCGCGAGCAAGCTTTGTTTCTCCATCCCTAGTATGGTGAATGCTATTTTTTAATTATAACATCAATCTCGCTTTAATCTCAAATTTATTTGGGGTCGGCCGCAAGAATTTTTCGTTTCCAATTAGACACTTTGAAGAAAATAATTCCTTGCAAACTAGGTAATAATAGGAGGCATCTTTATCCTCAACTATTTGCAATGTTCTTCTTCAACAGGATACAGACCAAATGTCAACTGAACCAAAACCAAACCATTTCTATCTCTGTCTGAATTTGGATTAGATATTGGGGGCATTTTCGCAACGCTGTTATCCTCTGGTACCCTTTTTTGAGTATCACTAAAAAACCAAATCTGAACTCGTCTTCAAAAACCCGGTATTATATCCGATTTTTGGGTATCCATGACGGTAATTATCAGTAATGGCATAGTATGGTCTTAACTTTTATAATGTTGCATTATAGAAAATGCTCAAGATTTGGTCTAACAACGAATTTTACTCATTTAACGAAATTTTTAGTTCACCCACTTTCAGATTTGCTAAAGTTGATACGAACTTTCATAACATTTTTCACCAAACATGACACATGAAGGTTAATTGTTTTTTTGTGAGTTCAGTGTACGGATCAAATGATTCATACTCAACGAGGATCACAAACACTCTTAACATCCACAGCCATTTCGGAAAAACATTTATAGAGAAATATCCGGAAAAAGTAAAATCCAGAACTAACATCAGATGATGGTTCCCATGTTCCATACAAATTCTGTTCATCCTCACATTTCCATTGGAGCGACGTCTTGACCACCCGAGCCATGTTCCTCAGCGCCAGGACCAGCACCAGCATCAGCGGACTCGCCCTCACCAGGCTCCGCTTCCTCTTCCACCTTCTCGAACGAGTCAATCATCTTCTGTAAGGTTTCCTGCTCCACGAAATGAAACGGTTCACCCTTCCCTAAAACCGAAACCGTGCAAATAGAGCTCTTAAATGATTCCCCCTGCAGCGTTTCCCGTATGGCCAAGAGGGCATCTTTTATCAGGTCTTCTCTTGACGAATCCATGAAGCTCTCGAACCTACGTTCCAAGTATGTCTTTGCAGCTTGTGATCGGGACCCGATAGCGAATGCTTGGTACTCGAAGTAGTTTCCACTTGGGCAGTTGTAGTAGAGGTGGGCCCCGGACTCGTCCAAGCCACCTACCAGCAAACCCACACCATAAGGCCTTTTCCACGACCGCTGGGTACAGACCTGATCACAAGCCAAGGCAAGCATATGTATTATCCTTTCAGCTTTTTCAGATCAAAGAAAGTGCGGGAAAACAGTCAGGACAAAGGGGTTATACATGAGATAAAGGAATGATTACATTACACCCCCATGAATGCACTTTATAATTCATTCTATCTTTCTCCGGTCCATTACAATATACGTGCAAATGCAAGTGCTGCCGGAAAGGGTAATAATCATCAGTTCAATGCATAGTGCGGGGGAAAAGATATAACTATGCAGTTAAAGAATAATCGATATACAAGGATTATGCAAAACAACGAAAGCAGAAAAGAGAACTTACTGAATTTATGCATTCGATATCTAAGTAAAGAAGCATCCGGGCGGACTCAGAAATGAGATGCAACAGACAACTTATTCAAGAAGTGAATATGAAACAAAACAACTGAAACCTTTGAACAGATGTGAAGAATGAGGGAGGGGTAAACTATGAAGAAAAGAAACAAATAGGATGCAGCTACAGCCATACAGAAGACCAAAAAATTCCACTTCCATAAGCAGTGTAATAGGATGTATCTCTGATCTGACAGACGACTATGGCCTCAGATTTTATTTTTTCAAAAATTCAATATCAACCAATCTTCCTCATCAAATGCTGATAACAGTTGATGACAACAGTTTATAACATATTAAAAGACTATGCAAATTAAGGTGCAAAACTGATAAGTGTCCCACATTGGAAAATGAGAGGGATTTGGGCCAATATATAAGTAAGGGTCAAACCTCCACTCTTAAGCTAGCTTTTGTGGTGGAGTTAGTACCTAAACCTTATTAATTGGTATCAAAAACATGTTCCAATGTGGGACACTTATCAAAAACATGTTCTATTAGAATCATAATTGAAATGGATATTTGTTATTTAGAGACATGCTCTCGGCGGACATATAAGCGAAAACTAACCACTAGCACAGATGCTGCATACAAATCATAAAAAGGGTTCAATGTTACATTTGCCTTTAGATTAAGCAACAAACTAGGATGAAATTTGTCAGCCCTAATCAAGAACACGTCTCTCAATAATAAATACCAATTTCAATGCCCTAATGCCCTAATCAACTCTCATTCACTACTATACTTGGGCTTAAGAGAAATGGAACTAAAAACCAGATTGGAAGAAGACATTCCCAATCTATAATTCCGAAACATTAAGAGCACAGCCCAGTGTCCTAAGCATGATTCCGACCACCGCCCGGTGGATATCGGCGATCGAAGAACAGGAAATGAAATCGAGACAGCAATTTTGGACAACAGAAACCTTCTCCAACTTCAGAAAGCCAGAAGCTTTCAGAATTTCACTGTCACATGAAGCTCTGTCACCACAATTACATCCTAAATGTGAAGTCATAGTGACATTCCCGGGAAAATTGTTTGGTCAGTGGAGTGAATCAAACAAAACTATTAGCCCAATCTAAGGAATGCTCAAATTTTCAAAATTACAACACAGAGAGGCAAAAACCAAGAAAAAGGGTAAAATCATCACCTGGGCCTTATCAGCGAGACGAACAACAAGACGGCCGACGGGAAGAGGAGACTCATATGTGAAGAAATGGTTGATGCACTCGGATCTCATGTAACGCGACAGAACACGACCGTCGGCTGTGAGACCGGCGATGGCGACGCCGATATGGTCGTCGACCTTGAAGATCTTCCTCTGATGGGAAGAGAGCTCGGATTGAGCCTTGTTGACGCAAGCGAGGACGACATGGGAGCGAGATCTGAGCCCGATTGCCGCTGAGCCTTGCTTCACTGCCTCCATGGCGTACTCTACTTGAAATAGACGACCCGTCGGACTCCATGTCGTCACATCTGTGTCGTACTGATTCCTGAACATTGTTGCTTCCTCTTCTTCCCTTCGTTTCTTCCTCGTCGAAGGGTTTAAACAAAAGCAAGAGAGAGCTTTTCTTTCTCCTCAAGCCATGGCTGTGCTTAGCATCAAACATTTGGGCTCTTAAAGCTATGATGGGCTGACGACCATAGATTTGGGCTTCGTTATAGGCCCAATAGTTTTGTCTTCCCTTGGTTATAATTAGAAGAATTTTGCTCTAATAATTTTTTAATTAGAGATTAGAAAATTAGCATAATATTTGTAAAATCATCTTTTATTTTAGTTTTCAAATTCGTTTTTTAGGAATTAGGTTTAGTTTAATTTTGAGGGTATTTTTGTATCTTAAAAATTAAAAAATAGACATTAAATAATATTTAAAAAATCTAAATTTTTTTTATTCTGTGACAGTTTTTGTATTAAGAATTCAAGAATTAAAAAGAAGTAACATATTGAGATTTTTTTTTCTGCAATAAAATTGTATCTGAAAAATATTCTCTCGACGTATAAAAATGAGATTAAATTGAACGTTTGATTGCTTGGATTTTATGGGGGCATTTCGTAATTTACCCTAAAATTTTATAAACTTTACAACGAAAATAAAGTTTTTTAATTAAACAAATGGGTCCTGTGACCTATGAACGTGAGTCCGCCCATGGTCATTGGTCATACCCATTAAAAATGACAACAAAAATACTTTCAACAAATACCCCACTTCTTTTTTTTATATATAATCCGAATCCGGAGTAGTTCATCGTGTTTTTGACCTAATTGCATCCAATCTAGGTTAGACAACAAGCTTATTACAATTAATTATATATCATTTCCTCTGTTGAATCGAACCAGCCATTTTGAATGCCTAACGATTATTTTGTGATCCGATCGTTTCAAACGTCTACCCCACTTCTTATTGACTTAAATATATTTCCGTTATAAGAAATCAAAGATGGAGTTATGGTGAAAGGATGTCATTTGATTCGCAAAATGCGATCAGTTTGTCCATGAATAACGTCCATCACGAAAGGACGAAACATACTGATATCGTATTTCGCTTTATCAGAGATTTAGTGTCGTAGGGGTCGGTGAAAAGTGACCAAAGTTCACACGTAAAACAATATTGCAGATGCCTTAACCAAAACAGTGTCAATCAACAAGTTCAAGAAAATCTTGAATTGCCGAAGCTGACCGAGGACTGAAAATATGAGAGCTAGAACAAGAATATGGAGTCAACGTCTTTAGAAAAAAGAAGTCAACGTCACACAGATAAAAATGCTAATTTTGATTTATACCGAAAACAATATATGTAGTAAAAAAAAAAGGGTAATCACATAAAAATACCCGAACTTTTACAAAAATCCCAAATAAATACCCGAACTCTCCCACATAAATACCTAGACTTTTAAATTTTTTCCAAATCAAACAAACGCAACTGCTGACTCATCAAAAAACTGCTGACTCAGCAAAAAAAATTACTGACTCATCATTCAAAAATATTATTAAATGTCCAAATATTCATCTACATGTATTTAAATTAATATATACATATAAATTTACATATATATACAAATATATATATATATATATATATATATATAAATATTTATAATTAATAAAACACATATACACATAACTACAATATATATATATCATTACTAATACATATATATTACAATAAAAATAATTATGATTATACCGCAAGTGCACGGG